CATTATAAATACTTATTTAACATTAGTGAAGTTCATCTAACCACATGAACAAGAATTTTCATATTAAAAGATATGCACAAACTCTAAACATGTTCAAAAGCATCAAAACGTCATGAAAACCATCAACGCTCAGTTAAATCTCGTGTTTAATTACTTCTAGATCTTAATCTGACTTAGAGAATTTGTTTGGAAGATTTAAATCACAAAAAAGATCATATATTTACATCATATACCATAAAAGAACAATTTTAATATGCAAAATATTGTTTTAGGCTCAATAAAACCACATCAAAACTCATAAAAACCAATTTTTAAAAGGGGTGTAGGGTTGGCAGAGATGAAACTTACCTGAAATCTCTGTTGAAAAGCCTAAAAGTGCAAATTCAAACCAGATCCCTTAGCCACACGCCAATGATCTCGTCCTCACGTCAAAATTTGCTTCTCAAAGCACTCGAACTCACAAGGTTTGGATCTAGGGTTTGTGAGGAGAGGTGGTGACTGCTAGGGTTCAGAGAAAATAATAAAAGATGTGGAATTTCGTGAAAAATAGGTATATAAACATCCATGTGAACCTGGGCCTCAAAAGACCCAAAACCAACCGCAACTGGGAAATCTAGCAATTCGCCCGTCGGTCGACTGGGCATGGGTCGCCGGTCGACTGGCCAAAGGGTTTTCCAGCTGTGCATGTTTTACGTTCGTGTATGTTTTTAACTTGTTTCTCTCACATATACAAACTTTTTTGATCTCAAATCACTTGCTATCATATTCATTCATCATTTAATGATATTTATCATAATAAAATTCACTTATCACAATTAATCACATATTATCTAGATTTTTGCAGGGTTTTACACAAGATTTCCGCAAGGCCTAGTTCAAAGTCTGTAGGAAAAAACCCACACTAACAGGCCCAACTAACATTTACTGTGCATATCTCACTGCTACAGGCCACGTGTCTCCGATCTGTTCAGCCTTACGTCGATCCAACGGTGCACATCAAATGTGCGTGATTTCATCTACAAGTGGGCCCCATCTCACATGGGTGTGCCATTCAAGGGAGAGAGAAAAATAGAAAAGGGACCATGAGATAATATTTCAGCCAATAATTACGTTCCACATGGCATATGGAGTGCAGAAAAAGCGATACAAATACAAAGTCCTATACCTGTATGTGTACATAGTGTTTTATGAGTGTTTTGACTTTTCTATGGCCTCAGATTGTGCCACATGTCATATCCAAGGGGCAGAATTAAACCCTGAGTAGTTTAGGGTTAACAAAGCCTACTTAAAGGTAGTTAATGACGACAAGGAGTGAGATTAACGAAAAAGGAGAGCAGAATACAGCAGAATTCGCAGATACTCCTCCTTGTGCAGGATTCGCTCAAAATTTCATAGAAATTCGCAAAAATCTCCGTTTTGCTATCCATTAGAAGCTGTGTGAAGTAGACTCAGAGTTGGATGTGTCAATACCAGTTTTATAGAAAGTTCTACTTTAGAAAATTCCAGATTGACATGACAAAGACAACATTGAGCTTCTCTAAACTTTGTTCCTTTTATTTTTATTCGTTGTCGATATGTATTGTCTTTTACACTTATTTTGGACTCTACATCTATTTTAGGTTGGGTTGCGGACTACGGGGTTATAGTTCGTGGGAATTGTTAGTAGATTCAGTTTACATAGTGGCGGTAACCAATGAAGCCAGGGAGGACGATTGCGGTGGGTAGCCAATCTTATTGGGTGTAAGGGGTTGTGAAACTGTTTTGCTAGTGATTCTGGTTGCAAGACGTAGGCGTGGAGGCTGAACCTGGGTACGTCTGTGTGTGCTTTATATTCTGCATTACTTTCTGCATATTATAACTACCTGCATTTGTGATTTGATAAATCTGCATGGTAATTTGGTTGTTTGGCTAAATTGAAAATTTATAAATCGTTCATAGCCTATTCACCCCCCTCTAGGTTATTCCTCGATCCAATATAAAATTTTGTCCTAATTCAAGTTTTAATTGACTAACATTATAAAATTTTAATTGACGAATAATATAAAATTTTTATATGAGTGGTAAGGGTGCATTCGGTTCGAATACAATTCAGATATGATACTTACCATAACCATAACCACTTTCTAAAAATAAATACGGATATGGTTCAGATATTCATCGGTAAGAAAAAAACATTACCATATCTGCATTAAACGGAAATGGATATGGTTCGGATATTAGAGAGTCGGATACGAATATGATACGGATACTAATCGAATATTTGGGAAATAGATATGAATAGGATATGACAAAAAATACATATGATTTTAATAACTCGCATTATAAAAAGAATGCGCATATTGTAAAAAGAAGTCATGTGTGACCAAGTTAAATGGATACTCATGGACAATGATAACTTTTACAAGTAAAGTTTGACTCTTCTCATGGTCAAAGTGATAATTACTAAGTGCACAAGTCCCTTCTTCATTTTTTATAGTAGCTTGAACCAATTGTTGACTGATATCGGGTCTCTTCTTTATGGGGCACTTCATAATGTGATTTCTAATGTGTGTAGTACCCCTTGAACTACGTCCATCACATTCAAACAAACAATATTTACATTTCTCTATCTTGATTTTTATTTCAACTTCTTTTCTCTCGACAATTTTCTTTTCAACTTTATCAATTTCTCAAAGTCTAACCATATATCAAAAGTTAATCCCCCCATTTTTCTCAGGTTTTCCCTCTGTTTTATTAAAAGACTCTTCTACTACGGGTCCAATGATCGGTTCAATAGGGGGTTCGACTGTGGGTTCTTCGTTAGAAGCTTGAATTGATGAATTAGACGACATGATTCTAATACCTATTCATTGGAATTTATAAACTTAATCAAAAAATATATAATGATGTAAATTACAATCATATATGTAACTAATAACAATTAGGACTAATAGGTTAGGGATTTTTATCAAATAAATTAGGGTTTTCAATTCAGTCAACAAATTCTAGAAATTAGGGTTTTTATCAAAAAAAAATAAAAAAATAAAAAAATAAAAATAAATAGGGCTTAGGGTTTTGAATTCACCTTAGTGATATACCAAATTGAGGAGGAGAAGAGGAGGTTGGACGTCGTCGTCACGTCGTCGATGGTCGTCATCGCCTCGATCAAGAGGATGAGGCGGCCGCAGACTTCTTGAAAAGTTGAGCCGCGAAGAGGCGGAGACGGAGGCGGAGGCGGAGCTCGGAGGTGGTGGTGGAGCGGGACGCGGAGGCGGAGGTGGAGCTCGGAGGCGAAGGCGGAGGCGGGTTACGACTTGGAAAGAAGACTAAGAGTTTTTGGTGTGCAGTGTCGACTCTAGTCTTTGGAGTTCTTTTGAGTTGAATTTGGGTCGGGTTGCAGATAACATGAGTATATGTTATGGACCCGACCCAATATAAATATTATACTTAGCCCATTTCAAATATCCGGATATTCAGACCGTATCCGCAAGTTCGACCCGATAACTGTATCCGAAACCGTATCCGGATAAAAAATTTAAACCGTAATCGTATCCAAAACCATATCCGACCAGTTTTATTTTTTTCCTATCATATCCGCTTTCTAAACGGATATGGTTGTGATCGGTCTGGATAAATTCGGACCATTTTGCACCCCTAGTGGGTAGGAGTCTAAGTAGAACTAAGACCCCGTTTGGTACGCGGGAATGGGGTGGAATGGAATGTCATTCTCACTTCTCATTCCCTCATACCAAACAAAACTTGTTTTTAGATGTTGGAATGATCATTCCCATGGAATGGTCATTCCCATGGAATGGTCATTCCCATTTTTGTGGGAATGAGCATTCCAAGTGAGAAGATATGGAATGATCATTCCCATTCAAGGAAGAATCAAATTAGTTAGGTTTTTTTTTCAATTATACCCCTATTAATAATAGGAATCAATTTAAAAATTATGGCTTTTGACTACCTATTCTCATTTTCTCTCATCTACTAATTATATTCGAACAATAGGAATTTTTTGCGGGGGTAGGGATTAAAACTAGTGGTACATATTTTAGTAGCATATTAAAACTAGCGGTACATATTTCATTAGCCTATTATATCACAATTGCTCAACATAGGAGCAACACAATTTAATATAAAAACAGATACAACTGAAACTATATATTATTTACCGATTGAAATTCTTTCATGTTAATATTTTTTTTTGGTCAATCAAATTTTTTTGTTTATTCACCAATGTTTAAAGTCTATTATTTTCACGAGCATATTATATTCTTTTTGAACTTTTGCTATTGTTTTCCCACCATAGAGAACTATATGTACCCATTACGTATATGTTTGATTGTGGTTCATGCACAACAATAAATCTAACTTTTGATTGAAAAATATTTGACCCAATATTTATGAAAAGAGGAAACTCTCGCTGAGAAATTGGCCAAAATATTAAAATTATCAAAACCATATCATGTCTAGACTATATATAGAGGTAGAAGGGCATTATTATAACACATACCTAGATTAATATAACATATGCAGAAATAGTGAGAATTGATTAAAAAATATAAACGAAACATGCACCTGATCGATAACATGCGCATTATATAACACATGCCTAGATTAATATAACATATGCATAAATAAATTTTTTTAGTTAATATCATTAATGTTTATTTTTATCTTATTAAAAATCTATGTTTTTATAAGGGCATTATTAGAAAATGAGATTACATTCTCACTTGTGAACTAGTGATACCAAACGTGGGAATGAGAATTAGATTTTTATTCTAGCTTCATTCTACAAACGCACCCAAATAAGAGAATGAGAATGACCATTCCATTCTCACATACATTCAATTCTATTCTTTCTTCCATTTTATTCTCACTTGACTTCATTCTCACGTATCAAACGACACGTAAAAGCCGCCCCTTGTAGTGTCTGGGTTCAGTTTTGGGTCAAGAAAAACGAAAACCCGACCCTCAGTACCCGATTGCCGAGGTGCTTCTCGTCCATTCTCCCTCTCTAAAATCTCCCAACGAATCTCTCGCCCGTTCTCTCTCTCTCTCTCTCTCTCTCTCTCTCTGCCCTCCGCCGCCGCCGCCTATATTCGAATTCTCCGGCCATGGCGGAATCCGACCAACAGAAAGCGCCATCTCTAGCTGAGGTATCTATTTCTTGCATCATTTTTTTTAACTTCATTCATCTTTTTTTTTCGCGTATAACTTTGTTGCTCAATGAGCTAATCCAATGCTAGCTGCTGAATATATTTATTCGCTGCATCCTGATGCTCGCAGATCTGGCGATTCTGCTATTATTTATTTGCAAAATTATAACTAGATCTAGTCGGAGAGAAAAGCCAGTAGACTTTTAGAGCGCTAAATTGCAATAAATTTTCTTTAAAGCTGTAGAATTTGATGTAATTTATGATGATTATGGTCAAAATTTCCAATTTTGTGATTATGGTGGGTTCTGGGATCCAATTATGTAGTCGGTGGATCCGAATGAATTTGAATTCGTGATAGCAATTTTTACGACCATTGTTGTCTTGGAACTTTCTTGCAAGTAGCACACAAAGTTAACCTGGTAGATATTTGAAGTTCTTCTCTGGTACCCTGTTCATATTTTTCTATAGAAGCTCTTTGCTTATGCCTAGTTTCGGTGTCGAGGCCCAGGATCCTTGCGTAGCTGACTATGCATTTTTACGGAGGTTTGTGTATAATTTAGTAGTTCCCTTAGAGCAATTTCTTACAGAAGTAAGGAAAAACTATGATTATAAAATAACAAGGGTGTTTTATAATTTGCAAAAGGGAAAAAAAGGAGACATGATCATTAGTCTACAGTGTAGTGTAGATGGATGACTACCTTCAGTTTCTTTTTATTTGATGATTGCATTCTGTTTAAAATGGTTTTTTTTTTAATTTACGATCTTATTGCAGTTCAAATAAAGTATCGAGGATTGTAATGATCTCTTTCGTAGAAGCTTATACTTGATATTTATCAATGCGCCATTAATTTTCATCTTCATCGAGCAATCAGTATTCTGTTTTATTTGGTCCCAGCGTGCATGGACATGCTCTTGTGTGATTTACTATTTATATTGTTTTCATTTACTAGCTTCCGAGGTGGGGTGGGAACTCTTGTCTAGCAGATAGGTTTTCAGTTCTAGAATGTGATAATTATCCTACAAAAATTCTTAAAATATATTTCTTTGTTCATGCCTAAAAGTTTTGCTTGTTAGTAGGATGATGTTACAGATTTATTCCTTTAAAGGACTTCAGATTTTCAGTTGTGGTTCTTCCAAATGAATTTCTATATTGTACTTTGTTGCGCCTTAACCCTTGTATGCATGGGTTCTGGTGGGTAACTGGCATTTGTTCTCGTTCAATTTGTTTGATTATTTGTTTAAATTGCTAAGTTAACTCGTCTCACAGGAATGGTCATTACCACAAAATGAGCAAGAGCCAGTGCAGAACGAGGCTCCTATTGAAAAAGCAGCTGAAGATGAGAAGCCAGCTGAAATTGCTTCCGATGCTATTGTTGAGGACAAAGTTGATGAAGGCCCTGCTGCAGAAGAAAATACTCCTGTTGCTGAAGAGAGTAATGAAACTCCTGAGGAAGAAGTGGCAGAGGTGGTAGAATCTGAAGAAGCCACTGAAGAGCAGCCAGAAATAAAGGTTAGATTTTTCTGCAGTTAATCCACTTCTCGTTGAGGAATCAGTAACTTTAGATGTCTGGAGACGGAAAATGCTTTTTTGGCAAACACTTTTAAAATTATTACTTTTGTTATATAGATTGAGACAGCTCCAGCAGATTTTCGTTTCCCGACTACAAATCAGACAAGGCATTGCTTTACTCGCTATGTTGAGTACCACAAGTATTGCCCAACTGTCACACTCTGTAACTTTCGTTCTATTTTGGTACAAAACTTTTCTTCTATTTTGCTGTGTAGCTTGACAGTTTCTTATGGTTAGTACTGGTGTCTGATTTCAGATGCATAGCTGCTAAAGGGGAGGATGCTCCTGAGTGCAATAAGTTTGCAAAATATTATCGTTCACTTTGCCCTGGTGAATGGGTATGGTTTCTTCCTCTATTTCTCGTACATGCAATCCTCAGTTGATTCATTTTAATCTCAGTCTTTCATACTGTTTTCATATTGTAGACACTAAAACAGTTGAAATCGTTGAAAAGAGTTCTACTATCTGGTTTCCTGAGAGCATTATATGCACATAAAGATTTCATATTTAAGAATCTAAATTATCATAATGATAAGAAGAGATATGAAAGGAAATTTCACAAAGGTTCAATTATGTCAAACTAGTATTCACGTGCACCCGATACGTGCATGGCATGATATACACTTCATGCATAATTAAAAAAAATTGTCAGCACCATAATAATTAACATATATGTGTGTATAAAAAATAGTTAAAAAATAATATAAGCGCAAAGGGTATGTGAATTTGAAAGGGGGGTAGTTATGGAGAAGTGGATGGCTTGCTAGTTCTGAAGTAGTGTGGGTGGTTAAGAATTAGGTTGTTGTTTTCCCCAAACTTGTCCCTCTATGAAGTTGTAAATTGTTGAAACTTAGGTGTATAATTTTTAGGATACATTTGGAATTTTGTTAGAGGGGGGCTAACATAGGCGTGGAACATCAAAAAATAGTTTTTCTTAAATGATAGTGATAAGCAGTGGAAAAATGTTGGAAGAACAAGTTAAATCTAGTTTGTACTGTACCTTGCTTTTGAGTTAGACTTCCTGCCAGCTGTTTTATTGGCATGCATATATCTTAACTAACTCGGTTCATGTTTAAAATTATGTTCTTATATCAATTCTTTTCATAACCACCATCTTGAGATACTTATTTTCAGTCATTTATGTATCAGTGACTATCTAGGAGATTGTAAACTAAGTGTAGGGAAGATGTTTTGTTATAGAAAATGAGATTTACTAAACCACTTTGTACAAAGATAATAAATGTTCTGTAGTAATATGTAGATTTTTTTTGTTATTCTATTATCAGAATTGCATCTGGCATATATTTATATCCACATATTTTTGCACTCTGTGGGTATGCATTTACCTTTACAATTTCTTTTTATCATAAAGATTAACACAATATAGCATATAAATGCACTTTATATATTTTGCTGTTGTTATGCCCGAGATAGTTTTAAAGAATTTTGTGTCCTGAATCCGCATCCCTTGTGCGGGACAATGCTTCTTAGATTGGAACCATGCTGCTGGGCTAAAAATGAGGATAAGCTGAAGTGGAGGATCCTTGATGTTTAGTTCATCTTTGTCACAACACCTTTTGGAGTTATGGATGTAATAGATAAAAACTCCTTTGGATCTTTTATGCATTTGGGCTGTAAATTTTTTAGGCGATAAAATATAGATGATGTATGGTTAAATTATTTGAAACCAGAATCAAATTTGAGTTCATGCTTATGGGATAAGCTTCATAAGGAACATAATTGCTTACTGCTTAGCATACCAGACCAGATCAATGCCTAATTGTCCCAATAGAACTTGACAAATAACTTCATAATGAATCAAAGCTGCAGAAATTTAGGTTTAAGAACCCGCAATTGGATAAAACAACTGTAAAAAAAAGAAACAAAACAAAAAGACCCCAAAAAAGTGGGGAAATGGATCTTGGGGAGCTATAAGAATTTAGGTTAAAGGGGAAAATCAGCAGGTGATCTATGATTATGGAGCAAGATTGTTCCAAATGAAGTCTTTAGCCCATAAAGTTCCTGTTGTTTCGTACTGAGATCATGAACTGCTTTTCCCTGCTTTTTCCATCTCCACTAGCTTCAGGTTCAAGCAGAACTCTAGGCGAGGAAGAAATAAGGAGAAAAGAGGAGTGTTTGGAGTTCAAACTAGAGTTTCGATTAATTTTTTTTCTTCCGATTTTTGCCATTAAGACAAATACTTTTAATAATAGCCATGGGGTCAGTTTGTTAGCAGTGGGACTCATAATAGACTTCGACTATTACATTTTTGCATTTAAGTCTCCCTAAACTAGCAAATTGCAAAATAAAAGGAAAATTGATACATAGCGCAAGACCAATAGAAACTGATGATTACTTTCTTTGTTTCCTGTTAACTCCTACTAACCTGCATTAATATCAGATGCTTAGTCGCCCCCATTGCTTCCCTTCCAAAACTCTTTACGTCCATAATTAATTGATTGAACTTTCCTGCCAACCCTCTAGCCGAAGGGTTCTCTCTCAGGTATGAGATGAGGATTACTGCTGAGCTGAGTGTGACAAACTTTAAAGGCTCAGAGTGGCACTGACAAGGGTGAAAAGTGGGGAACCTCTTCACTAGGTCCTAATATTTCTAGCCTGTTGCTTCGTCCACTGGTGACTGTTTTCACTTGATCAAGACACGAGCCACCAATGTCATCTTCACTAGGATGATACTTCTGTCTAAATTAGCTTCATGTTCATTCACCGTCTCTTCTTGGTATGTAGGCAGGTGCACTTGCATAACCACCTAAAACCCACCTTCTTAAGCTGGGAGACATGGCAGCTTGGGTGGATGGATGCTTGAAGAGGGAGAACTAATCTATGAGCCCCTTGCCAATTATCTCCAAATCTTTATAAGGACCATAGTAGTTTGTGAGACTGCATGTGGTTTATGGGCTGAATCTTGCTTTATGGTTGTAATCTCGCTTATCCCTGGTCCCTAATCTGGAACACTCTATGTGACTTGTGCTCATTGACAAATTTCTTCAGTCTATAGATTTGTGCAAGATATTCTCCATAAACTGTATTGCTATTTCTGTGGAAAATGGGGTTTCTTCCAAAGCTTAGAGTCTTAGACTCTTGGAGACATGGGCATGTAGCTCAATGTAGTTAGAGTATGCTGTGTAGGGTTTTCTCTATATACGAGTGCAAAGGGGTGGATATAATAGAGATCATCCAAGTGGTGTTGTACCAAAATTCAGCCAAGCTCAACCACTTGGCCCACTTCTTTAGCTTGTGGCAGCAAAGAACATTTCAAATACCACTCCAAACACTTGGTATTTTCTGATTGCGAATCTGTTTTAGGGTGAATAGACTGTTAGCTTATGCATACTTTCCTGCAATTTGAGCAACTCCCTCAAAATGAGCTGGTAAATTTAGGATATTTATCACTCACTCCTGACTTGGGGTGGGGGAGATGGCAGATTGGGTGGATGGATCCTTGAAGAGGGAGAGCTAATCTATGAGCCCTTACCAATTATTTCCAAAACTTCACGAGGACCATAGTATTTTGTGAGACTTCATGTGGTTTATGAGCTGAATCATGCTTTAGGGTTGTCATCTCAATAATCCTTGGTCCTTAATATGGAACTCTCTGTGTGATTTGTGCTCATTGACAAATTTCTTTAGTCTATAGATTTGTGCAAGATATTCTCCATAAATTGTACTGCTATTTCTGTGGAATATGGGGTTTCTTCCAAAGCTTAGACTCTTGGAGGCATGGACACGTACCTCAATGTGGTTAGAGTATGCTGAACGGACATCTCAAATACCCCTTCAAATACTTCGTCTTTTCTGATTGACTATCTCTTTTAGGGTGAATAGACTGTTAGTTTGCGCATACTTTCTTGCAATTTGAGCAACTCTCCAAACATGAGAAGGTAAATTTAGGATATTTATCTCTCACTTCTGACTTGGGCATTCTATGCAAGTTGTACACCCATCAGAGAAGATTTGTGCGATCGTGCTGAGTATAGGTGAGAGAGGAGAAATATGCAATTCTTATAGAGTCTATCCACTAAGTAACCAATAGGAACTTTGTTATTGTGAAAGACAAAACAAAACGAGAAGTAGAGGAAAAGACCTCTCAAAATAAGAAGCTCAACGCTCTTCAAGGACATTGGAAAAGCCTCTACAATTCAAAGATGTAGTAGTCAAAAACCGACATAACACCGGTTTACCGGAGAAAAACTACACAGTAATCAATAATCTCTGGAAAAAACTCCAAGAAATAAGAGTTTCCGCTCCAGACACTAATGCTTGTCTTTCGGTATCAGAAAAGATCAAGGAAAAAATCGAAAGATTCAAAAACTTAAAAAAGGGTACTACTGATGCATAAACATTATGAAAAATCTCATGAATCAATCAAACTTGACCATATCAACGACACTGAAGACTCAAAAAGAAAATGAAAAACTCTTTAGGATTAAGTTAGGATATTTAAGAATGATTATTGAAGAAATCGAGAAGATTTGTCAGCAACTAAAATAGATGCTTTCATCGAACTAGTCAACTATTTTAAATTTGATATCTCCAAATCAAATACAACAAAAATTAAAAGACATGTTCGACAACTATTAGAGAAACCTAATCGATGATCAGGCAATGCTATCCTTTTTTGAAACCCTGAGACAATGGTATAAGCTCATTGTTCAAATCAGCGTTACAGGTTATGTTGAATTAATATGACCGATCACAGGTACTGCCAGTTTTCAGCTTATACACGCTCACAAAGAACACATTTGAAAGGGCCTAGTACATAAATTATATATTGATAAAACTATATACGATGAGTGTAAGTTATTCATTCCTGAAACATGTAGTCAGGCACTTGAAGTAGGAAAATTTTAAAGTTTTTGAGTTCACCATATGGTCCACATGGGAAAAACGCAATCTATTTGAATTCTATCATTCTTATCAAATTTGGAGGATAGATCTCTTAACAAGAAAACCACACTTCAGACATATTCCCTTCATTGAAAAGGAAGGTAGTCTTGAAGAGGAAAAAGAATTGGCAACAATCGAATTCTTTGAAAAACTACATTATAATAATGGGAAGATGATAATATAAGATCATATCATTTTTTATTTCACTAAATTGGTCTTCAAAGAAAAGGAACTGCAGGAAGAATTTGAAGAAATCATGATCTTAGGTCCAGTAGCTCGCTAAGCGAAGGAGCAATATGAGCTTATGATGAGCACATGAGAGATTACTTCTCCTGTACGATCTTTTGATCAAGATATAGCTTCAGAAATTGACTAAGAAATATGGTGGGATCTATTCGCCTCAAGAAAGAAGAACACCAAAGGAAAATTTTGGACCCGAGAAGAATCACCACTCTTCCAAAAAGATACTTTATTATAGCCTCTTTAATAAAGCTATTTCTATAAAGTTACTTTTGTAAAGTTACTTTATTAAAGTTAATTTTGGAAATTTTACTTTAAAGATTCACAAGTGTTTCACGAAATCATTTCTTCGTCTATGAAAAGGGGAGCTAGAATTTGTAAGGGGCATCGAAAAATCAGAAAGAATATTATAAAAAAAAAATAGTAAGTGTCCTACAAGTTTGTGAACAGTGTTTGTTTGTGAGAAGTCTCTGTAAGTGTTTGTTTGTGAGAAGTGTTTTTAAGTTTTCCAAATAAGATAATTCGAGGGAAAAATCAAGAAAAGAAAAATATACTATTACACCATGAACTTCAAAGAAGTCATGTAAATATTTCATATGCCAAGAAGTTGGCCAGTATGCTAATAAATATCCTAAAAATAAAAATACAAATGAAATAGCTATAGAGGACTATATATCTGAATTTGGGTTGAATCTCATAGAGATAAACCAAGTCCAAATAGATTTTGACAATTTATATGAATTAATATAGGAATCAGACACAGAGAGTGAAGAGGATTATGAATATCTTCAAATTTTTATGATGAATAAAAAAACTAGTATATCAGTAGAGGATATAGATCTTCTGAAATTGATATACATAACTTCCAAGGAGACAAATTCTCTGTTTCAGATGAGGATATAAAATGACTAAAATTAGCCATTCCTAAACCTCATAGAAATGATTATAGGAAAATGAGTATTTTTTTGAAGTAAAAAATAGGGCAAAAAAGGCCTACTTCATATATATATATATATATATATATATATATATATATATATATATATATATATATATATATATATATAATATATATATATGATAGATATATAATATTATAATAACGATAAACAATCAGCCCACAAAAAAAAATGAGCTTGCTTCTTCGAAAGAGTAAGCGCATTAGCAAGCTGCAGTTAGGGGGGGGGGGGGGGCTTAAGAAAGCATTGTCAACACTATAAGTCACTAAACACATCTGAAAAGATAACTAAATATTGTAGGGTAGCCTAACACCATACAAATCACTAATCAAAGGATTAAGGATCAGCTCCAATATTTCTCTCTCGAGTGCATTCAATATAGCAATACCAGTGGAGGATAGAGGATGCTTGATACCGCAATTAGAAGCAATAGTAGCCAACTCCTTTGAACTGAGACTATTGATAGGTAAATAAGTAGTTGAGTTAGAATTATATCGCTTGGAGTGAAAGATCTCCTAGAAAAAGAAAAATGCTTTAGATGAGTCCTATGACTTAAAAGAGACCCTTTACTTGGATGTTTCTTATTTGTCTAGCGTATTTTGATACTAAATCGTAGAGGACCAGAAGATTGAGAAGTGCTATCTTCTTTGCATGGACTTGCCTCCTTTTAAGTTGGTGTTTTTGTTACTAAACCCTAGAGAACCTGAATATTGGGTGGTGTTTTCATCCGAATTGAGAGGACCTTGATCGTCTGTCTCCTTACTAACTTCAGCACAATGATTGTAAGAGGTTTTAGCAGAGCCGTAATCTACTAACTCTAAGTCGATCCCGATAGAACTAGCTGCAACCGACTAATGCAAAGTGGGAGGGACTTGTTGAAGCTGGCATATGAAATATTTACATGACTTCTTTGAAGTTCGAAGATTTACATTATATTTTTCTTTTCTTAAGTTCTCCTCTTTTCTGAATTGTCTTGTTTAGAAAACCTATACACTTCTCACAACAAACACTTACAGACTTTTCAAAAACATTATTTATAGAGACTTTTTACAAACAAACACTACTTGCAAATTACAGGACACTCTTAACTCTGGCCTCCCCTTTATATAGACGAAAAACGATTTTGTGAAGCATCTAAGAATCTTTAAAGTAATTTTACAAAAGTAGCTTTAATAAAGTAACTTTTTAAAAGTAACTTTATAAAAGTACCTTTATTAAAGATGCTTTAAAAAAATATTTTTTTAGAAGAGTGACAATTTTTCTCGTGTCTAAATTTTTTCTTTGGTGCTTTTTTTGTCTTTAAGGGCGAATAGGTGCCACCATGTTTCTTAGTCGGTTTCTAGAGCTGTATCTTGATCAAATGATCGTACGGGAAAAGTACTTGCTCATGTGCTCATCAGAAGCTTATATTGCTCCTTTGCTTGGCGGGCTACTGGTCCTAAGACTATGGTTTCTTCAAATTCTTCCTATAGTTCCTTTTCTTTGAAGACTAAATTAGGGAGATAAATGATAATATGATTTTTTATTATCATCTTCTCATTATTATAATATAGTTCTTCAAATAATTTGATTGCTGCCAATTCTTTTTCCTCTTCAAGATCGTATTCCTTTTAATTAAAGGGAATATGTCTAAAGTGTGGTTCTCTTGTTAAGAGATCTATCCTTTAAATTTGATAAGAAGGATAGAAATCAAATAGATTGCGTTCTTCCTATATGGACTATATGGTGAACTCAAAAACTCTCTGAAATTTTCTTGTTTCTTTGAGTGCTTGACTACATATTTTAGGAATGAAGGACTTATACTCTTTGGGTCTAGTTTTGTTAAAATATAATTAATGTATTAGGTCATTTTGAATGTGTTCCTTATGAACAGGTATAAGCTCAAAATTGGCTAGTTTTAATTGTCAGTCATATTGATTCAATATAATTTATGACACCGATTTGAGCAACAAACTTATCCTGTCGTCTTTTAGCTGTTCAAAAGAAGATAGCATTGTCTGATCATTGATCAAGTTTCTCTGACAGCTGTCGAACATCTTTTAATTTTCGTTGTGTTTGATATTTGAAGATATCAAACTTAAAATAATTAACTAGCTTGACGAAGACATCTATGTTAGTTACTGTCAAATCTTTGATCTCGATTTTCTCAAGGATCGTTATTAAATCTCTTGAGCTCAATTGCGAAGAACTTTTCATTTGCTCTTTTGAGTCTTTGGTGTCATTGAGGTCAAGGTTGATTGACTCATGAGATTTTTCTCAATGTTTATGCATCCGTGCTACCATTTTTTAAGGTCCTGAATTTTTCGACTCTTTCTTAATGACATTTTCTAATGCCGAATGCAAGTATTAGTATCTGGAGCGAAAACTCTCATTTCCTAGAGTTTCTTCTAGAGGTTGTTGATTGCTGTGTAGTCTTCCTCCGATAAACTAGTGTTGTACTAGTTTTTGACTATATCTTTAAATTGCAGAGGGTTTTTCTAATGTCATTGAGGAGCATTGAGCTTCTTGTTTTGAGAGGTCTTTTCATCTGCTTCTCGCTTTGTTTTGTCTTTTATGGTAACAAAGTCGCTGTTGGTTGCCTCCTTTTTTGTGAAGATTTCTTTCATGTTTGATGCACCTGATACCATAAGGACAGTCATAGATTTTGTTAGATATTGTTATTATTTTAAAATACTCTGCTAATTGATGAGTATATTTTTGTTTTGCAGATGGCTCGTCTAGATTTATTAAAAAGCTCATCCATCGCATTACTTCATTGTATCCATCAATAAGCATTTTTTTAAAGGTTGGTAAGGAATGGGACAATAATTTCAATGTCCTGTTCCTTATTATCCATATTAAAATGCTTAGTGATGATTTGAGCCATTTGAGAATGTGGGGATATTTCATTCATACCTATTTCCTTTACCTGAGATTGAGGGGGAATAACTGCTTTATGTTTATCACGATTTTTGCTAGTTGAAGAACTAGCCATGCCTGGAAAGAAAGTCAACACTAATATTAATGAATCAATGAATATATCAAACAGTATAAATATAGCTCTCTAATTCCATCTACCATCTTATTCTGCATACATTTTTCTCAATTAATGAATTAGTGTTTTTTAAGAAATTGTGCAACAGCTTGATTATCTGTTCAATGATGAACTCATATGATAATAGATATATTTTAAAGAAATTAATAGTATTTTAAATAGCTAATAATTCATTATTATATGTAGCATAATTTTTCTTTGGTCCCTTAAATTTTACAGAGCAATATACACATATTTCAGGGTCTAATTGATTGACATTTGCCTTGAACCAGGCTCTGATAGTAGGAGTGTTCAGGTTTTCCCCTCTGCTTTGTTGTCACGCATTAAAACAAACTTTTGCACCTCCTTCATTCTTTATAATAGAATGATCTTTTCAACCCGTGTAGGTCTAAGCCGTTCATGAAAGCCCAGAAACTGTTGTATTGGGCCGCTCCTGCAGCAGGATTTGCTTGATATGATCGTCCTGTCCGCTTAATTTTCATCATCTTGACCTTATAGTAGTATAAACCCCCGCCCCATCTGGAACTTTTACTCATCCAGGTATCCTTGCACCTTTTAGAATCTAATTTTTGGAAATATGGATCATCAGACACCATTATGTAATAGCTTGCACCCAATCCCTCTGAACCACTGATACTGAACATTATCGGCTCCTGAGCAACCTCATCCGTTCTGTCTCTCCTTTTCTAAAAAGTCCATCTACCGCTCTATTTAACCTTTTTAGCTTATACTTAATCTTGCATTCAAAACCGCGCAGTTGCTAGCCACTTGTTTTGGAACCCCAGTGTTAAGCTTCCGGTCTAATATAGATATTTAGGCATTGGTGATCCGGTCTAATAGACAAGTAAGACTTGACACTCCCTCAATTTGAAAAGGAGATATTAGCTAGAGAAGAATAAACAGTAATTGTTTCACCTACATTAATTTTCTTCTGATGGCGATAATTGTGTGTCTTTGTTAATTTGATTATATTTTCCGAATCTTGGGTAAACACGTGTTCATGTATGCAGGTGGACCGATGGAATGAGCAAAGAGAGAATGGAACCTTCCCTGGTCCTCTGTAGATGGCTACGACAAACAATCATCGGTGAAATCTATCGCCTCACTTTCTGGGCGGTGGAAATTTCATTTTGCAATTTAGAACTGAGAAGAGACATTTGAACGAACCCCTTTGTGGGGAAACTGATCGAATAAATTTTTTTGCTTGTACTAAGTTAAAAGAATATTTTCAGCACATGAAGGAAACTGAAAGGCAACTGTTTCAGGAATTGCAGTTCTTGCTTGACAGCAGCATTAAGATGCTATAATACCAAATTTGGGACTATTTTCTTGAGCAACTGTATCTTGTTGTGTTATCTTATATATATACTAATTTACTTGAAGCATATATCCATTGCTGGAATAGGCAAGTCGTTATGTCATAGTTCATGTGCAAGAATCTCATTAATATGTTAATTGCTGTATTAATGACATTAAACAGTTGAGTATGGAAATAGTTTGAGGATCGTTTGGATACTTACTATTATATTTTTGCTTGCAAACGTTAGGACGCATCTCTACCTTTCGAGGCTGCCTCTATCACAATTCCAAATTATGTTATGAACTTTGATCCCCCCATTGAAATTCAAGATTATGTCAAATTCACAACAAAATAGATACCAAACTACCAATATGTCGCTTGTCACAGCAAACATCATCACAAAATAGATTAGCAGTAAATGAACAGTAACAGCCTGCTGGGAACTACTTGTGAAAGCTTCCCATCCTCAACATGCTTCCAAATAACCGAAAACCTTGCCTTTTCTTCTTCATCGCCATTGGTGAATTCATCTGAAACGTCTCCTGCTCACCGAAACCTCCATTATGCTCTCTTCTCGGGCTCGAAGGAGCGAGCGCATCGAATATAGACCCCTCAAGCAACTTTGCATTCGAGTCCCCTATTGATTTCCATCGTGCGCTCCAGTTATCTGATGGGTACTTCACCAACGGCGGCCTTCCTCCTCCTTCACCGTCAAAAGAATCAAAACCAAATCCAGAGGAATCCATCGACAAATTCAAATCATTTAGTCCACTAAGTTCCTGAGCACTCCTCGTCACCCTAGAGTTCTGTTTGACGGTTTCGAAGTTGTTTTCCTTTTCGGACAGCAAGTTCTTGAGCTGGGCATTCTCGTTGCGTGTTATCTCCAACGCTTCCTTGACAATGCTGGTTTCTTTAATGGCTTGCTTTACGATATCTCTGAGATTCGATATCTCCTGCCTTGTGGCTTTTCTAGCTTCGGTCAGTCTCTTGTTCTCTTTTTTCGTGCATGAAATTTCTTCTTCAGATATCTTAATCCATTGGATTAATCCGTTCTCCTTTGCTCTCCATGTAGCCGATGACTCCTCCATTTCTGCTCGTAATCTCTCGAGCTCTGACTGAGCCTGGAAATAGCTTCTTTTCGCATGATTGGATTCGGCGGTAACCTCTTTGAGGAGGATGGCGAGATCATCCAATGCCTTATTGCTCTTTATTTCAGCAGTTAATGCTCGTTTGAGCTCAGCACGGAGCTTCTGTGTTTCTCTTTGTGGGCTGCCTTTGACTGGGATGGTGGAACGGAGGTGACTGATCTCGAGCTTGGCTTCTTCGAGGGAGATCTTTGTTTGTTCGAGAATTTTGGTTTGAGAGATGAGGGAGTCTAGCATTCTCTCCTCTGATTCTCTGGCCGCCGCAATCTCTGATTGCGCTGCTTGTTTTTCTTGCTTCACTTTTCTTAGCTCTTCCTGAAGAATGATCAGTTGACTCTGCAGTTCAGATATCTCCATCGTTTTATTATCTTAATTGCAAGGGAAAATGAAAAGATTGGAGAGTTAGAAGAGGAGGGGAAAAAAAATATTTTTTTTGTCGTGTTTGTTCATCTATCTGTTGGAACAGAAAGTGGAGGGAAGGGGAAGAGAGAGATCAATTACAAGCAAATGTAGCGGGGGAGAGAGATTGGCGGGAGGTGGAGCTTGGAAAGCCTCACGTCTTTTGGACAAACGGAAATTGTTACGTTGCACACCACATCAACTTGGTACAGTTTAATCCTATTTTTAACCGTCTAATGTATGAGACTTAGTATTAAAATATTATTGCGCTAATAAAGTTAGAATACATGTTATAACTTTGATGGATATTCTTTAATATTAAAATATTACTAACCAATTACAAAACCGATGAGATAACTTTTGTAAAAGCAGCCTTGGTGCCGATTGCTACAATAAGGACTGAGATGTGAAAGCTCCATTCCGATCTATTCAACTAGAACTATATTGTCCCTACTGGGGATGAAGCCAGCCCTTCTAACGTGGCCTCCGCAGACTCTCCTCTGAGATCTCTTCCCTCGGCGCTCTCTTCCTTAGCACCAAATGAAAGGGATCCATCTACTTGATGGGTGTCGACTCAAACTCCAAACTTGATCCGGATTTAGAAGCTAGGCATAATCCTAGTAGCTTTCTTAGAGGCCGAGTTAATAGTTTTCTTGTAAGCTAAGTTGACTTGGTGAGATTGTCAGTGGTGTCTTTAAATGAGACAATCTATTCTAGGTTTTAGAGGTGGAGAGATACAATATTCCAGTGATCAGAGTCTGATAGAGGGTGTAACCGGGTTTAAGGGTATTGTGAGAGAGAGGGTTTCGCAGTCTTTGTCTGGGTAAACGATTGTAATTTGATGGTGATAGATTATTTTTGATCCAGTGTATCTTCCTTGTTGAATGTTTTCCACGTTAAATATTGTGTGACTCTATATACTGCGCTTGATGATTTTCGGGTTTTTGCAAGATCTAAAAATCTCAACAAGTGATATTAGAGCGGGATTCGAGGGTTCATGGATGTTCGAGTGGTGTGCGATTGGTGAAGGCGTCGGCGATGGAGGCGAGGTGATCAACATTGAGTAATCGAGAGAACCAGACACCGTTAGTGGAGGATCTGGAGGGCCTGTAGGCAATCACAATTGGAGCTAGGGTCAAAGGAAAGTTTTTCTTATTAAAGAAGGGTCTAACTCAGTGTGAATCTAGCTGCGGGGGTGGGGGGACGGGGTGGGGGGGGGGATTCGCTGTAGCAACAAACTGTTTCAGGTTGTGTTAGGCAAGTCCAAAGAAGATGTTGGATTGTTTGCCTCGGGTAAAGTCAACAATAGCAAGGAGAAGGCCACGTGAACACTTAATTCACGTGGGGATTGCAAAGATCTAGTGTGCTTTTTTTGTAGGGTTCATGTGTATTTTAAATTCAGATCAGTGGTTGATCGAGGGTTTGGAGGTGAATTTTGAAGATCTAGGAGTCGTTATTAGGATTTTTTTGACATGCTGAGTTTATTTTTATTGTCGATGCTATCAAATTCAATCTCTACAGTGACTAGTTTGAATTTTAATTGTGGTTAGTGGATAATGACTTTTTCAGTCCAAAGTTCGATATTCAGTTATTCAATGGCAAGACAAGTTTTGCAGTATGACAATGTACGGTTCAAGACTTCTTGTGCAGCAGAGTGTTGCTAAGCTTTGAAGGAGAAGAAGACTAAAGGGTTGAAGGATTGTGAATAGAGTTCCATACAAAAGAAGATGGTTAGCACAATTCGTTTAGCACTCGCCTCCAAGTAGCAACGATTCTTCACCAGGAAAATGAGATGGCCTGGCCTTATGTTCATTAGCCATCTGAAACAGCCAACGTCAAGGGAAGTCCGATTCGTCCCGGGCATCTCTTCATCAGCCAACAATCCACCATAGCGATCGGAAAATCAGGGAAAGCACGGGGAGAACACCTAACCCTTATGGATCTACAAGCTTTTCCTCGCTTCCGAGAGGCTCCGTGCTTTCCACTTACACCCTTCGAGCAATCGCAACAAGGGAGTAGATAAATCCGCATCTATTCGGGCTGACATCAAATCAGGATGGTGAATAACCAGCCACGTCATCAAATAAGTATAAGGAAGCTCCGCTTTCGCCGTGGGGATCTTATCAGACGGCACATCTTCTTCTTAGGTAAAAGTAGTAACTACCTGGTGAAGCCCGCGATAAATGTCGGCAACCATCGCCGGAAGAAGGGATATACTTTTCTCGTGGGCTAGCTGGACAGCCGGGAATAATACCTCTATCGACAGGGCATCAGAGGTCTGGTACGACACCACACATTTCTTCAACCAAATCGCGAGGTAGCCGGCCAATAGGGGCATGGGTCTGATGGGCTTCTGTGCGCATCGAAGGAAGGTTCTGGACTTGGTCCCCACATGGAATTTACCCTCAGCACTTGTGTTGGTATAAGAGCGGGCACTAGATCTTTTGATCAACTCATTGATCTCTGAAGGATTTAAAGGCTTCAGCTCGCAAATGACTTCATCAGATTTATCCAGGTTCTTGAATAAATAACTTGAGAATTTCTTTAGGCTTATCTGAGAAGATTTCTTCTTTGCTATCGGGCTGAATCCTGCCAAGGCTATTTGATAATGACATGTAAGCTCCCATAAGGTGTCATATCGAGCAGGCTTGCGAGCCTTGAATTGGTCTAACTCCCGGTTAGAAGGAAAGTACTCTTGGTACGGCAATGTGTCCCATCGGTAATCCAGAGACTTTATGCATCTCGTGGAGGGGTAGTCCTAACTCCCCGTTCCTAGTCAGAAAAGTATTCGTGTCCAGATTATAAAGTTCTACTAGTGCAAAGAAATGGTGAACACTGATCAGCAGCCCATATTTAGTGGCGCAGACAGCTTCATATAATCCACTGACCCTTAAGTAAGCACCCCATCGGTTGAGAACAAAGTTCGTCATCCTGGTCCGCCAGAGCTTATTCGAAGAGTGAGACAAACCGTAACATCTGTGACCACCGACAGGTAACTCCCGTCCTAATAGAGCAAGCCGATTCTTTATAGTACAAGCAGCTGCAGGCAACTCCCCTCGAGGCGGCTCGTCCAATCCCAACACACCGGGATGTAATCCTATAATGTGGGTCCTACTACTTGAGCCTAGGAGCGCTTGACTGGTGACATATCTGCAGTGAACATTAGTATGTTCCTCTATCAGGTTCCATGACATCTCTCGTGTTACTGCTTGTCTCTGCAATTCGATCAGTGGGTGATGACGAGGGATTGTAGGAAGGTATAAACAGCCTATTATATCCCTATATAACCACAACTCATCTTTGAGGGATACAACGATTGGATCTTCAACGAAATTGCCAAATAAATAATCTATCTTCCTTGGAGGCCGGGTGGAACCCTCATTATCTACAAATGGCATGTCGGTAATTAGCTAATGCAAAATACGATGATGTCCCTCTCGCACCAATCGAGAGAATTCCTCAGGAATGTCCGAAGCAAATTGAGGAGTTGGCGGGATTAACGTTGGATCATCGGCATTAGCATAATGCTCACCCCTACAACCATCTACCTTGAAAGGCGAGAACGCATCTGAAGGGAATTCAACTGAAATGAATAACTTGTATTTCTTAAACATGGTTGCAAGAATGTGTTAAGGCAATACAAGACGTTGAACTCATCTCACGAGTCCGTGAGATAGAGTCATTACCTTGTAATTGGCGAGATAGTTTCAACCATATCATGTACACGTAGGATAATGTATATTGTAGCGCAAATAGCATAACGATATACCCCATCCTACAAAATGTGATACAGCAGAAAATCACCCTAAATTGATAAAAACACATTTTTACCAAGCAAAACACATCTGTGAAGCATCAACCCTCACGAAGGAGGATGTCAGCTCTTCCCAATTGCCTCACCAAGGAGAACAAAGTGGGGATATAATACATAACATATTCATATGAATTTCTAAGCATAAAAAGGAAAGGTGCTCATTAACTAGGCGAGATGATTTAAACTGCATTATACACACGAAGCACGATGTACATTGTCACATGAATAATATGACAATATACCCGTCCTCCGGAGTATAATACAGCAGGAAATCAATCCAATTTGATTAAGACGCATTTTGACTAAGCAAAACACATCTGTGAAGCGTCAACCCTCACGAAGGAGGATGTCAGCTCTTCCCAATTACCTCACCAAAGAGAACAAAGCGGGGATGCAATATGCAATATGATATGCCAATATTAATTTCACAAGCAAAAAATTATAAAAGTTTACCTACGAAAGACAAAGGCTCCCTCTCAGGCGATTCAGTGGCCGAGCGACCCATCGGGATACGTGAATTCCTCGTCGACATAGCTAATCTGCAATGGAAGACAACAGTTCAGTTATACAGAGGACCGAGAAGCACAAAAAGGGAAATCGTGAATTTTAATCGAAATTCTATAACAATAGGATTTTCCAGTTAAAGGTCCAATTAAACCTACATGATATTCCTAATTCAAATTAGAATGAGGGGAATTAAGCAAGCCAAGGATCTCGGTTATGTCCCTCACACGACTAAGTCAAAAGCTTCAATCGATGTTTAAGGATAGAACTAAAGGATGGATGTAAGATAAACACCTCATGCATAATCATAAGCAAAGGGTTTCGGTTTTTCCGCAAGTTCACTAAGTCATCCAAAATGGGAGGGTGACATGCACACAAATTCAAGTCACACGTACAACCGAACAAGGGAACATGACATGCACACCAAATTTAGTTCTCGTGCACACTAGAAATCTAAACCAAATGACCGTTTGCAATCAAGCCAAACACCTCAGAAATTCGATTCAAGCCCTACATACAATTGAGCTTCAGTATATGTACACAACCAAAATCAAGCGAAAGAGTTTAGTCCTCATACACAATTCATGCTAAGGGATCAAATCAATATGTCGATCCTCAACCAAACAGCAAATAACAACAAGTTGAAGACGTCGCCTCCTAACCACAGTTGAGCT